AACCCGAGAGCGCTACAGTACATTATTATTACTGGGATTATCAAGATCCAGACCTAAAATCTTAGACAATTGTAATTTCTTATGTAGCTCTTCCAAGTAATACAAATTATAGTACTAATAGCATCTGGAACTATTACATGTTCGATAATTTGAAAGCACAAAGTTTCAAAATCTTTTCTCTTTGCCTGTTGCATTTTCCATGCATCACCTAGCTATGCAAAAAGTGCTTTTCCATTTGTCTTTGGCTCCACTTCATCGCTTCCCCAGTATGAATATGACCACCTCGTGTACACATACGATGGGCTCTGCATCGCCAAAGGAGGATCTGCTGGGCCGGTTCGAGCTGATTCATGAATCTCTGAATTCTCTCACCCCCCCCACCCCCCGTCTGCGTATGTTTCGCTGTCACAACGGGCCCGAATAAACACTCTGTCACTGAGGAAGCTCTTCTTTTCAGCTTGTCCTCTCAGGGCCTCACATCTGCCAGTGGGCGGCCAGATGAAAAGCTCTTTCTGATTCATTAAAAGCAAGGCAGTCACACTGTCTGGGGTTCGCGCTTTTAACAGACCCTTTGAGGGGGTGTCGGGTCTGTTGGGCTCTAGATGGCAAACAGAGTGGTTTTGTTAGAAGACGGGGTGTTACAGAGTGGGATAACCGAGTCACAGAAGTCACGGCTGAGCTGCAATGGGTTTGCTGTCCCCGGCAGTCTCTGTCTCTTGAGGACAGCTGGCCCGGTTTCAAAGCAGCATGAAGTACCTTCTGCTGGTTGCGGGTTGAAAAGGCCTCCTGTTCTCCCCTTGTTTTGTGTCCCCAGTTGGAGCCGGTAATTGACAGAGACACAGTGACATTGTTTCTCTCTCTCTCTCTCTCTCTCTCTCTCTCTCTCTCTCTCTCTCTCTCTCTCCGGCTCTGGATCTTTTCATGCCCGCTGAAACGATGGCTCGTCATTCCAATTTTTTTTTTATTTCCTTTTGGAGTGAAAGTCGCACAGGTTGTGTGGAATCCAAGGCCGGCGGTTTTCATAGTGGCTTTAGTCTCGTAAGAAAGACTCTCTTTCCGTTCTCAAAACCATTAGCGTTTGGTTCGCCTTCTGCAAGGGGGCGGGTTTGCTCTTCAAATAACCTCTCCTTCACTGCGGTGTCCCTGTACCTAACCAGCGTTAAAGTCACGTTTGGGAAACACATGAAAGTCACATTTATTGACAAGAATCAGAGGTATGGTGTGTTTTGAAAAGGGACTGCAAAACAAAATACAGAAACCCAGATATATTAAGCATGGCCTGACACAGTCCGAACTGAACAGTTGAATTGTGTCCTAAGAGGGAGGCAGTACAGCTAGCAGTACCAAGAGCTCAGAGGAAGGATTTAACTAACTAATCCAATTTACATGCACAGTATGTGCTACAGCTGTCTTTTCTGTCTGGTTTGTCTAGTTGAAAAATCAGGATGACATGGAGCCCAGGGCAGTAAAACCGCAGAATTATGTTGCCTTGTTTTCAGAATGGCTTGCCAAACCCTTTTGGAGCAGAATATTGGGAACAGCAGTGTAAAGAATTTTGAACCTCGGCCATATTAAGAAAATGGACCTCAGAACACCATAAATTAATAACGAGGAATGTGAATAATGACTACGGCACAATTTATGAGGAATATAAGAAAAACATTGGCAAGTTAATTTTTATTAATAATTAGAATTAATTAAGGAATTATTTGCCATGACTAAAAATGCCAACAGATAAAGCCCACAATGATGATTGCTTTTATTTTGTGTTCATTACTGTACTGAATTAATGTACTTTCTCAGATGATCAGTTTCTTTTGTAAAGAAGCAGCTGGTGATGTCGTATTCAAGACTAATAACAGAATTCAGATTGCTCGTTCAGTTGCTCTCACATTGGGTTTGGGGAGATCTTTCTCATGTTCATTATTTCTGTGTGGTTGCCAGTTGGTTGCTAATAAATGGTAATAGGTTTGTTTTTTTCTGATGTCAATATTTCCCTTCTGCAGATACACTGCCAATGAGGATATTGCTTTCTAAGGGTTAATTTAGACAGTTTAAGATGAGCTTTCCAGAGTTTATAGACTGTGGTATTGTTGTATACTGAAAGTCACAACTGCCTGCAGCTTTAGTAGTCTTTATTTAAAATATCTGAGCCAGGGTACAATCTACACCCTGTTTTAGCGTCTGTTTCTTGATAGCCTCCAATTAAATATTCTTCAAGAGATTGACTGTCAAAGATGTTTTGGCACTAATACTGTAAATGCAAAGAAATAATAATTTGTAGTGTATTTTAGCCAGCTGGTAGTTTCACAAAACCTCAGAAAGCATCCAAGCTTCTTAAAGTCATTCCTGTTGCTGAAGGATCTTAAAGGAAACTGAATACTCAAAACTGTGTTATCTTGGAGAAGGTCAGAAAGATCTAAAGTGAAAGATTACTGACCTCAACAGCTATAGAGAGAACGGCTATAGAGATCAGTCAGATATCCCAGTTGTGACTGTGGTGTCCATCGTCAAAAAGTTCAAGACTAACAGGATTACTGCTTGATACCAGGAAAATTGATCTTTTTATGATATAAAAGCCCAGATGGATATTCACAAAAGTGGTCTGAGAGGCTAATTCATCAATCTCAAAGACTACTGTAAGACCACATAAATCCGGAGTCTGTGACAGAGTTCCATGATAGCATAAAAAGATAAGATCTAAATTTAACAAACAGTAACTAATGGTTCCCGAAATCAAATAGGATCACATAATGGATAGATAGTCTCATCAGCTGTATGATTTAACACAGAAGGGTGAAGTTAATCTTGAGAAGAATGGCAAGAAATAGACCTGTTCTGCTTTAGGGTTGTTTTGTGTTCTCTCTCCTGCTGTTTTAGTAAGAGCCCAAAAATAGTGCCTTCTGGCAGGAAGCTCAAGCTTGGTCATTGACTACCATTATAATAGGATAACATTACGAAGCCTGTATCGAGCTCCATAACCAAATGACTGTAAACCATAAAAATGAGTGTTTACAAATGAGAGAAGGTTCATCTAGCAGGTTTCGTTGCTAGTATTTGATTGATCTGAGGACTTCATTCAGACACTTCTTGAAAGCAGCCTGGGCATTGGCTGCAACAACATGGCAGGTTAGCTTTTTCAAGGCTCCCACAACTTCTGTGAAGAAGTGCCTGATGGGACACTTGCCCCATAGTTTCTACTTGAGTCCTCGGTACGTGTTTCACTGTTGATTCTGAAGAAGAACATAAGATTGACTTTGTTAGTGCTTTTCAGAAGTTTGAATACTTCCACAACAAATACAAATTTCTACTCAATAGCCTATCCAAACAAGACGAGTGAACTGAAGATGGCATGTTTTAAAGGCCACATTTTTGTCAGTTTTTCCCATAACGTGTTCACCCATGCAATCTATCATATTTCTCTTAATAAGTATAAATCTACATATAAGATTTAAAAATGAGTGCAGTGCATCTTGAAATTATAATAGAAACCTCTCCCAAGCACCTTGCTTCTTGGGAAATTAAAACCAACACATTTTCAAACTGGGCCTGATGATGTTTTAAACACACACCGAGCCTCAGTCGCCTGAATGTTGGTTTTAACACATCTCTTAGTGAAGCAGTGCTTTCACCTGGCCTGGAAATCTTGCCTGAGAGACAGTTTTCCCCAGCCTTGAAACAGAGCTGCAAGCAGCTGAACCCTGTGGCTTTTTACAGCTTTGACAACTATTATTGGAAAAATAACAACAAAAATGAACCCATTATGAAAGTCTGAATATGCCCTTTCTTCCACTTTTCCCATTACGCTGCCCTGATTAAATTAAATGTGAAACATGACCCTTTTAATCTAGAGAGTGGTCCTGATTTAAACTTTGCCTTGAATTGTGAATGGTATACAGCTTTGTTTGTGATATTGTTCCCCAGCTGAATGAACTCAAGTAACAGTCAGACGTAATGGAGAATTGTTCATCAGAAGTACTGTTGAATTCCCTCCACTGTTCTCTCTGACATTAATCACATGCAACACTGATGTCAGATGGAGTGCTGGGTTGAACTGTCAGTTTATTCTCTGATCTGTTTGATTTCTTTTTGGCTGACGTCACTGTCCTTTTCCCCAAGGTCTCCTCCTTTATGAGACGGAAATTCAAAGGGAATCAAGGGCCTTTGTAAATGAGTTGCATCTTCATGCAGTGATATGCTTCTACTTTTCCCGAACCCGCAAAGTCCTATTAAAAATTAAAATGTAATTAACCGATATGATTTATATCATTTGCAAAAATGAAATGCCCATTATAAAAGTGAAAATGTCTGAACTCTTTGGGAAATAAGAATGGAGAAATAAGAGTTTAACATAAATTATTCTTTATTTCATGGATTTGAGGAAACTCAGATGAAGAGCGAGGTGGTGTGGTTAATTAATGTGTTCATTTTACATGTGCTTTCTTATTTTATTGTCCCAGATGAGGAACTTGCAGGCAGGTAAAAGACATAACATACATTTTAACAACATGAAATGATTAACAAATAAAAGACATGCATGTATGGTGAGAAAGAAAATTCAATACAGTAAAATACTCAGTTTTCCAAATTGAGCAGGTTAATTGCTGCAGGAAGAAAAGATGACTTAGCTCTATTGTTTTGAATGTATGCAGTGTTTCAGATTCTATGGCCTGCTAAATGTACGTGCTTGCTTGTTTATTGGACGGTAACTGTTCTTCAGTGACGTCAGAGTTGAAAACAAGTTCTCTCTTCCTTCTTCCCATTTTGTTGTTCCCAGTAGGGTTTGGCAGCCTTTTCTTCCTCTACTAATCGCCAGCTCCAAAAGCTAGGAATGCACCTTTGATCGTCTTTCAATACCGTGTTTGTTGGTGTGTTATGTTGAGGGGATCTGTAAAGACTTAGCACACAAAAACCAACACGGTACATGACACACAAGTTGTACAGTGCCTAAGCAATGTTTATGGGCAAAACACTAATACAGACACAGGAAGCCTTGCTGACAAACTGAGCTGTGAAGTCAAAGGGCTTGCGCACGTTGTCTTCCATGGCCCGACTTGGATTAGGAAAGAAGAGGCCATCTGGGACTGGCTATGTAGAGTAGGTGCAGGCCAAACCATTATGGCCAAATAACTGGGCAAAGTATCTGCTGCTGAAGTTTAAAGAGAATCCTTTTGGCTTGACTAGAAGCCAGAAATTCTTCCACAGCCCACATCTCTCACTGGATTGTAGCAACGGTGAAGCAACAGAAGAATGAACTGTTCAGCAACAGGATTCGACTGTGAAACCATTAAAAACACTGGCAATCCCATTTTCAGAGCAATACTGGCAACTTATTTTTCTTATTAACTCTAAACTCTTTAAGTCCTGTTAAGTTTCCCGTTACATTTTATGACTGCTCCGAAGACAGAGCTCATGTGTTTGTGGCATTTCAGCATCTGCCAGCCATGATGAGACACACGTCTCTAAACAATAATCACAGAATATGGTACTGAAGTTTGTAGAGGAAGCTGAAATACCAAAATGTGGTTGTCGTTTTGTTCATCCTTTGAGATGCTGGGATAGTCTCTTGTGACTACTTTCTGTTAAATTGCTTTATTTTTATGGCTTTTGGATGAAAACACCCTGCTTGCAGTGCAATCTTGACATTATTGGGTTGGGTTTTGCTTTATGTGCATGAACAATAAACTGGCAAAAAGCTGTTAGCTTCTGTGTTATTTTGACTGGATATTTTGTGGTTGTCTACATTTTCCACATTGACCTTATTGTTTCAGCCAGAAGCTTTTAAGTATTTTTGTTTCTTCCAGTGCCTGTTGGAAGCTGACTATTGAGGTGATGTACAATAAGACTGTAGTTTGTAGTTAGAAGGTGTTTAATTCTGTTAATACTAGAAGGGTGTGAGATCAGGGTTTTGTGAAGGAAAAGATCTGAGGCAATAGGCAAGAAACACAAGTCACAAGGTAGTATGTTTTTTGTGGAAGAATTGTGGTGTCTGTTTTGTGAGTAGCCCTGCAATATACATACATGTTTCGCATATATTATTGATTAATACTGAAAATACTGACACTTTTGCCATTTTTTTTACTGAAAATACTGACACTTTTGCCATTTGTTATCTGGATCTGTGTCTTACAGAGGGCTTTTTATCACCATTCATGATAGAGGGCACATTGCAACCATGCTGAACTCCTGGCCCGAAGACAACATCAAGGTATTGTGGAATGAGCTGCTTCATGTCAAATTCAGTGAAACTTGTTGAAAATGTCATACTGTATTACATTTCTGGAAGATGCAGAACTGGGTTTATAGTGTAGCATGTTTGTTAAAGCTGTTAATACTCTGAATACATCTCAAATAAGTACTGAATAATAATACAACAATGACTCTGTATTTCTAACGTCTGATTTCAGAACTTTTATTAATTTATCTTGTGAGGTCTGGGTTATGATGGCCAATAGTAAATAGTTTTTGTGAAGAAGGTACATCTTCCTACTATTGCTACCAAATTGTTTGACTGGTACTAATTGATAAGCATCTTGCTGATCATTTTTTACATTTTAGATTGGATTTATTTGTAAGATGAGTCCTTAGGGAAGTGACTCCTAATCAAACATTTCCTGCAAAACAGATGCAAATACAGTATGTCCTGTGAAACCTTTAATCTCAGGAAAAGAGAGATGGGTGACTTTGATCGAGTCATGTCCTGCCACGAACTAGACATGGAGATTATGTGTATCACTTAATTAACTTCCCCTAATTGGAGTCTGTATTTTCACGTCCAGTAAAAAGGTCTCCACACAAAGCAGCCCGAAAGGCTGGCTGTAAGAAAGTTCCATCACTGTGGCCATAGACAGTGACAGGACAGGTATAACTGGGTTATCTGCAGATGCCCCATGGGCTCAAGGTGATTAAATACAAAAGCATAGCAATTGCAAATTTACATGCAAGGACGTTAGATTATGGATCTCTGTTCCTGGAGGCAGATTAGGAATTGAAAGAAGAATGTTTGCTGGGTAATGTAGCTCATGTGATCCACCTGGCAAAGCGGTGCCATCTTGTGTAGGGTAGGGTGAGAGACGCCCAGGGTCTCTCTTTTGCACCTCCCTGCTCCTGTTTCTCACCCACTGCGTCTCCCGCGGTGTTGATGAGGCGTGTGTGTCCCGCAGGCCATCGTGGTGACGGACGGCGAGCGCATCCTGGGCCTGGGAGACTTGGGGAGCTACGGCATGGGCATCCCCGTGGGCAAGCTGGCCCTGTACACGGCCTGTGGGGGGGTGCCGCCGCAGCAGTGCCTGCCAGTGCTGCTGGACGTGGGCACTGACAACCAGGTACGGCGCGCCTGCGGTCGCCTAGGAAACGCCCAGGAATTCCAGTCTATCCCAGACGTCATGATCGGGTTTTGGGCTGCAGCAGCTCGGCTCCTTGTCGCATTATTTGTCTTGGTCTGTTGTTTTGCCGGACGAGTCGGTTATGAGCGCATTCTTCTAAAGAACGGCAATCTTTCTTTTAAGGCTTATGCCTTCGTAGCGCCACGAATAATTAATTAATAATGAAAGTAACACGACAGAACCTTTAGGTATGCGAAAGGCAAATTAACCCAGTGAACTGACGTTGGGTTTTGCTAAAAAAAACGGCAGTCTTGGAAGGTTCAGTCTAACATCTTAAACCGTAATATGGAACACAGAACTTCAAAAAAAACATGCAGGATGCGTTTTTTCAGTTACAAAAATTCTAAATTAACCTAGACCAATGAAGCATTTGTCTGGAAATCTCAGTAAATCAGAAAGTAGAGCTATACTGTATTGTAACATATGGGGAAAATTAGTGAAGGTAAGTAGCAGAGTAACTGGGGCAAATCAAATCAACTTAAATGTCCTCTACAAACAGAAGGCAGTTAAGAAGGCCAAGGGCATTATGGAGTGTGTGGCACACCCCCTCCACTGTGAATTCACACTGCTCCCATCTGTGTTGCCAGGGGTAAAGGTAACAGATTTGGGAAATATTTCATCCCCAGTGCAATCTCACTCTCAAACAATGCAAAGTTACTCTCTTATCTCCCACAGCACTACTCTCTTCTCTGTTGGTTCTGTTGGCCTATCCTTGATGTATTGTTGTAATTGGACTGAGTCGTAAAAACAAATTTCACCCAGGGGACAGTAAAGCTTGAATTGGATTGATAAAGTCATGCATCTTATGGCAGGATGGTATAACACTTCACGTTTCCCAGGAAGGGCTGTAAACAACATCAACATAATCCCAGATGGGAAGCATGGACATTTGATCTTGTGTTAACCTAGAGAAATGTGTCAAACAAGATGTGTTGCAGTAAAGGTAATAAGTCTAGGCTTGATTTTAGCTGGTAATTTATTTAGTATTTATAGTTTTGATGGTTAAACCTCAATATCCAGCTAAATACCTAAATGTCTATAAACTGTGACTTGTTTAATCTTAGTAACAAGTTAGCGATCATTTCTGATGGAGAGGTTTAAGTTATTTTTTATTGAAAAAAATAAATGGCATCTTGTATAGTGAACTGGGACGTTATGCTTGCAGCGTATTGAACAGAAGAGTGACTTTGTCCAGGAGAGTAGCTGCTGCGGAGCTTTTAATTTAAAACTGCTGAGGAATCTCTTGCGGCTTCAGTTCATGATGGTCTTTTGAAATGCTTCTCTCCTTGTCTCTTTTGTACATACACTTACTGTTTCAGAACTGCAATGGATATGTGCAGTAATAAAGATTTTTTTAAATTCATTATGAACAATCGCAATTGAACATAACATGCATTCATATAAAGCACTTACTCAAATCATGTTTTTGTTGAAAACGCACTGATTAGTCCTTGTGCTCATGCACATGTTCTTTTGGTAATAGCTGCTACATAAAAATCATAAAACGCAGACGGTGCTGATTGTCATTCCCATTGTCAAATCTGCTTTGTGAAGACAGGATACATGCAGTTGGATAAAAAATACCGTCAATACTTATTTTTTAGGTTTAGCATCATTTCTAACTATGAATAAACTATGCAAAGCCTCAAGGAAATACAGTTGCCATCACGGTGCTTGACTGTATCGCTGTTAGGAATGTTTGGTAAAGTTATTTTAAGTTTTCTTCCCTGCCTTATGTGAATTCATGGTTTTAGTAACCTTTGTAATGAGCTCTATATGCAAATACCAGGCAGTGACTGTGTATAAATGCAATGCAGTTGCACTTTCTCCCATAGTGAACCTCATGGGTTATGTCAGGCCTCAAGGGAATGTTTGTGATTTTGTGAGTGTTCTAAAATTCCACTAATTTGCTGTAGACATCCCTGCACATAGCTGACATGATTTGCCAGGTACTGTACAAACTGAATCTCAAATTATATCAGCACTTTGACCCAACCCTCCCTCCTCACATACACACACGCACGTACACCTACACAACACACACACAGACCCACCTCCCATCGCTAATGAGGAGTCTAGTGCTCAGTGACAAGCCCCTAAGGGACAGGAAAAAGACAGTCTGCTGTCAGGTGTTGAGTTTGGAAATCACAGTAGGTGCGAGGGTGTAATATTTGGATTAATCTGGGACAAAATTAAATAAATCTGAGGAACCAACACCCGCTCTGTACAGGTGCAGTCCTGCAAATACCACATGGTATGGCTGTTAGGGTAGCATTTAGACACCATTCTGGTGTTATGGCATCCCTACAGGGAAAATTTGAAGGGGCTATTGCTCTTCTACAGTATTTGAATTTTCCTCCCATTTGCTGTTTTAAAAAGCCTTTGTTTTTCCATCAATTTTCAATTGTTATTGCAAACAGACCAGCTTGTATCATTGGTGCTTTATTTCCTTGTAATGCAGCCAGCTCTGACTCGAGTCAAAGTGTATGACTCACATTATCAAGTGCGTTGCAAGTCAAGTGATCTTGTTTTAAAAAGTTTGAACGTAATAAATAGAGCTTTAAGAATTTGCATATGTAGGTTTCGAAAACATTTAGCACTTTGCTGACTTAGTAAAAGTGTCTGCTTTTTTTTTTATTGTGTCAGGTGGTCGGTTTTTTCTTTTCTTTCCACTATTTCAAATGACAAGAAAGCCTCCCAAAATATCTCTCCCTCTACTGAGAGGAAGGTGTGTTTTTTTGTGGTTTCTGCACTCCTTCACCCGCCCAGAGCTCTTCCAGGGTTCCAGTGTGACATCTGAAAGGACCATGCATTGCGCCACAAGAACTGTTCAGAGAGCAAGGCCTGATTTCAGACAGGGGATTTTTAAAAATAATGTGCAGCTCATGTCCACACAGTGAAATTGGCTGGGATCTGTGTTTTTGTCTGGAGTAATGGAAAAGCAAGCTTAGATGGAAAATGGACAAACATTACTTGTGAAGTGAATGCTGGCACATGCTTGTTCCTTTTGAAAGGTTACAGAGGGGGATTTTAATGCTGTCTTGTGAGGAGCTACATCAGTGTGCAAGTTGCAAGGGAACAAATAGAGGTTAATGCTACATTGAAAGGTTATAATAAAATACCCACGCCTGAAGAAAGCTTCATACCCTAAATGTTGTATGGCTTTTTTTACTTGTACATGTGGAATTATCTTCTGCAGTGTTGTACTGGAATAGATGGTCAGTTTCCACAACTTTCCATGGAAGGAAGTAGCTTGTCATTGAACTGTAACGACAGTTAGGATTGAAAGAATAAGAAATATAATGGCTATTAATTTACTGTGCTTCATCTCCTAGTGGAAGTTTCACAATTGAAATAGCTAAAAGAAAACTCAGAGCAATGAACCGTATACAAGTGGATTCGTCCCTTTTGACCCAAAATGTCAACATAGAAACATAGAAAATCAATATCCTTAGACGAGAGTGCTGTTGTTTGGACAGTATTTTTTTTCTTCCCATTCTCGGTTGCTGTTCACTGCATGGGAGCCATTGTTGGGCGAGAAGAACAAACACGCTCTGTTCCAAAAGGGCAAGACTCAGCAGTGCTTCAGCTGAACCACTGCACAGAAGTGACTTGTTCCCTGCTGCTATGTTTATACACAGATGGCTAAAGTTTGGCATATGAGCCACATGGGTCTAGAGTTTCGATCAATTTGTAAGTGTTTTAGCCTTGCTTTGTACAGGGGTGTTTGGCCTGCTTAAACTGGTGTGTGGCATAGTGTCTCTCATACCGTATATTCACAAAATAGTCATTGGCATCCCTCTTGGGATACTGCACATCCTTCACAGTGGTAGCTGTTCCTCTGTGCAGGTGTGCATATACAGTTAAACCTTCCGTTGAGAAGCAGGTGGTAACAACCACAGCAGCTGCACTCTTTCAGTTTCTCAGTGTTTCAGCAATTCACCACTCAGCCTGCAGTCAGGAAAATCTAAGTGTAGTACAGTTGTTCATCTTTGTTTAGGAAACAGTGTGCAATTCTCTTCAACGCATAAGAAAAGGTGTATTTTGCACTCTAGAGTGCCAACGGTGATAACCTTGTACCTCACATGTGAACTTAATCATTTGTTCTTTTGGAGCACAGGAAGATCTTTAAGAGCTCCGATTAAGATTATGAAATGAACTGACATAGTCAACCCTTCTTCTAGCTCAACAGAAACCAGAACTGGGGCGAAAGAGCCAAAGCCATTTGCTTACATATGGGCTACAGTTGTATGGAAGAACCTGCCAAGTCATCTTGTAGATGCTGAGTCGCTGGGGGAAAATCAAGAACAGCCTTGTGTGAGCTGTGTGAGCAATATGGGCCCAGTGGCCTCCTCCCATCTGTAACTTTTCAGAAGCTGTTAAATCCTAAAAGTGCAGATGGTTCTCACCAACCTGTTTATTGGCAAGCAAAGACAGTCACAGAAGTCTGCAGCTGATGTCATTGGCATGCAACAGATATTCAGGGCAAGAGAGGCAGCTGGACGTGACAACATCTTGACGTTATTTTTCGTGTGTGGTCCTGCACTGTCCTGTTGGCAGATCGTCTCTTCCAGGAGGCTTTGCAGGAATGGAAAGGACTTGAGCAGTGCGTCATTGGGCAGTAGGGCTCCCTCTGCTGCCACCCAGGGCGTTCCTGTGTTAAAGGAGGACCCTTCACACTTCCACTGCCCCACTGGTGGGCATGAATAGTTCAACAGTCAGCATACCCGTAACTGCAATATCTCCTGTTACTTTGGCCAAGAGGTTCTGCAAGGACAGGACAATATTACTGTTCAATAAAACCCTCCATTCCTCCCTGTCGTCTCCTTAGGTGCTCATTAGCCAGCAGGCGGTCGGGAGTTTGTCGTTGACATTACCCTCTTACAGCCTCCATGCATGTAAGAGAGCAGGCCAAGCTTTATTCCGTACTGAAACAAAAAAAGACAACGTTTCGGCTCTGGAGCCTTCTTCAGGTGTGGTGGGCACCTTCAGCTGACATCTGAAGAAGGCTCCGTGGCCGAAACATTGCGTCTCTTTTCTTTTCAGCACGGAACAAACCTTTACTTGTTCTTTTCCAGGCTGACGCAGCTACCTACTTGAACTCCATGCATGTACAGTAGGTCGCTTCATGCAGACAGCAAGCTTCTGGTGATGTGTGTGGGTTATTTCTTTCGTTCCTAGAATTTCTGTTGGTGCCGCCACTGCAGTCTGAAAACAATGTAGGCAGATACTGTAGATGAGAGAGATGTGCGGGTCGTGATGAACCCCTCTCTTTGGGGCTTGGCCTGTCCCTCACACAGTCAGTTCCCTGGTTTCTCTGGGCTAGTCTGCTGTTTGCTGAAGCAGAGCATTTCAGTCTCTGGGCCGCTTCTCTCATAGGCGGGAGTGTGTTACTTAAGCTCTGCATGGCTGTAGACGTCGTTGTTCACGCGTTTGTTGAAATCGCAATACCTTAATTCAGTATTTTACCTTAATTCAGTATTTTCAGTAAGACAAAAAACCTGTCTTTTCTCTATTTTAAACAGAAGTAACAGTGTCCAATAATCTGTTGTAAAATTGCCCCTTTTCATTCTGCATCAGTAAACTATATTAAGCAAGGACAGCGTGTTATCCACGCATATGCTTCCATGCCAAGACTGTTTGAAACTCGCCGTGTCCTGCAGTGTGGTGGTGTTATATGTTCCGTGTTGTTTTGCAGGCTCTTTTAGACGACCCTCTGTATATTGGACTGAAGCACAAGAGAGTGAGAGGGAAGGAGTATGATGATCTAATTGACGAGTTCATGCAGGCAGTGACAGATAAGTGAGTCCTTTTCACCTTTTTGCGTCTTGTGTATTCACTCCCTGCCTGGAAGTGATGTCTCTGTGCCGTGTCTCGTATTTTCCCTGCACTGCGGGGTTCTTGTCTCTTACAGACCTACAGCTCACGCGGCCCTGTCTGACCTGATGTTCCTGCTTTTCTCTACATCAAGCTCAACTGGCCTTTGTCCAGCCCGGTGTAATTCAATGGGTTGGGTTGCTCAGTTCATTTCTTCAGGGTTATCGTCTTGTGAATAAAGTGAAATCCGGCTGTCAGATTCCCTGATTTTGTAAAGAAGATTTCAAACTATGTTAAGTAGACCTCCATTGCAGCTGTCAAGACATGGATATCAGAGCTCAGTAAAAGCACAAAGCTGACTGAAGTGCTAGCAGGATGTATGGTAATAAATAGCTTTACCTTTAGAATTTAAGCCTAAAATCTTTTTTGTTGTAAGCTATTTTAAACTACAGTATCTGTCATGTTTTTTTCCTTTGGCTAAAAATTCAAAGTGTCTTACATTTGTTACAAATAAAAACAGCCAGTGATGTGAAACAATTCACATACTGTAACTGTGAAATACTGTAACTGTCAAATACAGTTTTCAATGTCTGTGACATATTTAATGTATAAATGACTTTTAGGTCAACACATGTAGATGTTGCTAACCAAATTCTGTTTTGCTGCATAAATTTACTTCTGAGTTGCTGAATTGCAATAAAGAACAAAAAGAATTTATTTCCATCCCAGGGCATTTGATTTACAGCACTGTAGACTATCGCTTGCCAGTAACAAAAAAAAAAAGTGTGAAGGAGGCAGTCTGAAATTATTTCCTGGAATTATTTACACGCTTTTGCACAATTCATCTGGAAAACAAATTTGAAAAGTGCAATTGTGTCAATGAAAAAAAGCATGCAACATTCAAATATTTTATGTTAACTGCTTTGCCTGCTGAAGCAAGAACAGAGAATCTGCTGAGGTTGAACATTTATCCTGATATCGAATGAAGCTGAACGGAATAAAGAAATATTAAAAGGGAAAATTTTAAAGGAATCAAAAGAAGTCCGTAACACTGAGAAAGCTTTGTGCCATCTGAGTGGAGAATGGGTTATGCAGACTGTGGTTATTGCTGACTGCACACTTTTGTTTGCTTGAGTACAGTGTTGCCAGAGGTGACATAGGGGAGAATGTGCTCTTTAACAAACGAGGCCACATTTAAGATGCTAGGCCTCTGCTGTGGTCAAAACCATTGGAGTGTGAGTCACTGATGGTTCAACCGCTGTGTTGTACAGTAGAGCAGGGAAGTAACTGCAGTTTGTGACGTAGCACAGTATTCTGTTTTGGCAACAGTGTTTAGTCTGTAAAGAAATGTTAAGGAACAAAAACATGATGCTAAAAAACTGAGGTTCAAAAACTATTGGCGACCCCACAGAGGTTAGTCAATAGTTTTTATGCAAAAAGCACAATCCTGCCATTTTTGCAGGAAAATTTATGGCATACCATTTTTTTTTACCTTTTGTGTACTTTTAAGGAGCAAAAGGTTGGATCACATTTATAAACTCTTCTTAGGTGTCAAATCTTTTGACTGTAGAAGTCTGGTATAAAAGCTTGTATTCTTAATTGAGGGAGATTCAGTTCATTACCAAAACTCAGATGCCAATACTCCACCTCCCTTGCCTGGCTGACAACATATTGCATTGTAAAGGTTTAAATGAATTTATCTTTGAGCCAGAAATAGCCTTGGAATGGTTAACTGCAGACTGTCATCCTCAACTTTCTCTATTTGTTCTTGTACATTCTGGGAACCAGAGAGACATATTTGCCTAGAAAAACAAACATTTTTTGTTTGCACAAACAATAGACTGCTGGCAAAACTAGTGAAGGCATTCATGTGTTTTCTACTTTTTGTCTAGTGTTTCATGGAAAGTGATATAAAAATGATATAATAATATAAAGAGAAATAATGAGAATGAATTTAAATACAGTGCCTGAAAAAGTACTCACCGCTTCCTAATAATTTTCCCATTTGATGTGTTACAAATGATGTACACACATTTAAAAAAAAAAAATTAATCAAATCATGAGTCCAAATGAACCACTTTGATAGGTGCAAAAGTCAAAGTCGTTTCAGCAAAAATGACGAAAAAGAATCAAAAACTAAAATATGTTGACTGCAGCAGTGTTCACCCCTTCGTTTTGGCTAAAATAATTAATTCAGGTGCATGAAATTACTTTGCCAAGTCACTCAATTATTAAAAGCTAGACAGGCACAGAGCAGATCAAAAATTTCAAAGGCACTTGGAAATTTAAATTTAATGAAAGTTTGAAATTGGAACAATTGCAGGAAGAATAGAGGAGAGTTCTGCTTAGCCTCACAATGATAGTGGCTCCTCAAGATGTGGAATTCCTGCAATGTCAAGATTTAAGCAGAAACTCAACTGTAACTAATGTACTGAATATTCATTAATATTCAGTGCTGTCAACATATATCCAAATGTATTATTGTAGTTAGTCAAGCAAGATGACATTTTGGGGCTCATCACAAAACTTCAAGTCATCACTAGAGGTGTTTTCATCAATACAATTTGTTACTGCTACACTTTCCTGAACTCTTTCTTCGTAGCCTTCATGTTGAGTAGTAATCTTACCTTACGACTGTTCTCCAAAGTGTTAACAATTATGTCATTAGGTTGAACACATACATCATCTTTAATGTCAGCACCTACAGTGCATCTTGTAATCCTTGCCAGCAGATCCAGTGAAGGAGGTCAGTGTTGGATTAATCTGTGGAGATAATGACATATTATCAGATGAGGTAGATTGATTTGATAATGCAGCAGTCTTTCATGCAGTTTTCCGTTTCATTTTGTTAAGTCTGTTTTCCCAGTTGAAGTAATTATAGCCTTAATATCAGGTAGTGGTGACAGTATTCAGCCTTATTAATGTGCACTCCCACCATCTGGCAGGCATTTCCATACGACAGTCTGCTTATATACTGTATTTCTTAACACTGGTGCAAACCTGGAGTAGAGAGAATAAAGAAAAGAAGCGTGGAGCAACTATTGATGAAGAACAATCTCTAAAATGATGGCCCCACTCTATTACAAATTCACAGAACCCTGTCTTAGATATTGGCCTTTTTTTTACTATACTCCAGTTCTTAAAGGGAAATTAATGGTGTTTCTTCCAGCTGTGGTTTGAAAACCTCCAACAAACCGTGTTGTCTGTATAGATTACAGGAATACTGAATTTGATCTTCAGGGAGAGTCATTTAATCCCTTTCAGAACAGCAATACAGAAAGAAAAAAACCCAACAGTACATTAGCGTGGTTTTTCTTGAATTACAACACACACATAAAACAGATTGAATTTAATGTTTTCTTTTCTGAGGAATAAGCTTAATTTTGGAAGTATGTGCCAAGCTTTTTAAGTTGTTTTAAGTAAGATTGAAACAGGTCCGGCTATGTGACAGTTTGAGAATCTGATGATCAATGAAAGCTTCACTTTATAGCTAACCAGGATGTTGGTATCTAGTATCTTTTGCAGTGCATACAACCCCAGCATGGTGGTTAAAATTAAGGTTAAACTGTAGTTCATGTGGACAAGCAATGAGCAGTTCATGTTTTTCTTCAAGGTTATAATGTCCCTCTCGCTTCTCATGACCTGCCAAGGCAGCAGCTGTATTGGCCGAAGTTAAGCACTCACAGATTTAAAAATATTCTCCCCAGATTACTCTTGGGTGTGTTTCTCCTAGCACAAATGTAATAAAGGACAAAAAGCAGTGGATTTTGATAAAGTGACAGTAAATGAAACCCTTTAAATTCCCATATGTTCTGAAAATTGAAAGAATTCATGAGGGGGAATTTAAAGGACTGGCAACTTCATATATTGTTGTTGTTTGCATAAGAAGAGGAAAAGGACTGCTGAAATCTCGCTGGGTTTTCGGTGCTGTTATTTGGAGTCAGACATCTGGAGTGAGCAGATTCAGTTGTACAATAAATGTCAGCCTTGTGGAATTGATCTGCCTCACGGGCAGAAACACAGCACATTCATTCTTCACAGTGTCAGCAGGGACGGATTGAAATGAGCCCCTTTCACAGTCACTGAAGACCGTGGCATTCTAAACTCATCTCCCATTGGCAAGATCCACGCTGTAGCCAGATTTGAGCTCTTTAAATAAAATAAAAAATAAAACAAACCTCTTCCATCACAGAACCAATAGCACAAGTACAATAGTTTGTTATAGAAAACACAGGAGGTTTGTGTGCATGATGATATTTCAGTTGAATTTGACTTGACTCCAGCATGACTCATCATACAGCCCACTCCTACTTCCCTCCCCTATAACCTAATAAACGTGGTCCGCAGAGATATTGAATAATGTGCAGAGCAAGAGAGCGCACATTTTCTGGAACATTCTGCCTTTTCACCTTGTGGTGCCTCACCATCAAGCTATGCGCGATGACTACACAAAGTAACGACCTCCCCCTTCTTCTCGTGTCCTTCTGCCATGATACTCTCCTCTCCATTATCTTGGACAGGCAAGCTGTCCAAAGTCCATTACCACAGTAATGTCTTCCTTGGTGCAAGGATTTCCAAGGAAAATGGAAAGAAGGAGATGCCCATTTTAGTTGTCCACAATCGCACGGATCACAAGCATCTGAACGTATTTGCTGTCCTTCCTGTTGTTGGCGTTTGTAGGCTCTTGACACTGTGTGTTCATTCAGGTGTCAGATGTATCGATGAGGGGAGGTGGGTGGGTTATTATATTTGTACTAAGCAAGGCTGGTCCTGGTCAGTCCAGGTGTGGGAGACCTTTTAGGAATCCAGTTTGCTCCTCTAAGTGGTGGTGGTGGACCAATGGTATGGTGTACTGTGCTTGACCCACTGGACCAGAACGTCTAAACTAATGCCTCAGTATAGTGACAGGGGAGGTGTGCTGTAGGGGATGAGATGTTAAACTGGGGTTCTGACTGCTTGGTCATTGAAGATCCCAGCACACTGTAAAAGTAAAGGAGTTAACCCCAGTGCTTGGGCTTGCACAGTCTAGCCTTCCAAAGGCGGAACGGTGGCCCTGTGACTAATGATCTGTGCTTGTGGCAGGAAGGTTGCTGGTTCGAATCCCACCGCTGGCAGAGGAATCCTACTCCGTGGGCCCCTGAGCAGGGCCCTTCACCCCAACTGCTCCAGGGGTGCTGTGAAAATGGCTGACCCTGTGCTCTGACCCCCAGCTTTTCTCCCTGACGGTGTGTCTCATGGAGAGCAAGCTGGGGTATGCGAGAAAACAAATTCCTAATACAAGAAATTGTATATGGCCAATAAAGTGATCGTATTCTCTCTTATAAAGCTTCCTCCAAAATTCAAGTAGTGAAGTAATTTCTCACTACTCCTCCTGTGTGATGGGGCTGCTGGTGCTTAATGACACATGTACTGTATGTGATGCAGATTCCAGTAGCACAGCCAGTCTACAGTAAATGAAATATGAAGATGACATGGTTCTTGTGGGACTGTTTAAAGGACCAGCCTCTAGGTGAGCAAACTGAGTTTGAACACATCAGTGTTCTTGAAAACTGGTGCCAGTCCAGCACATTGGAAATAAATGTGACCAAGACTAAAGGGCTTCTTTTCAATGCTAAAACCAACCGTGGGCTGTTTTAACTACCAGCTGTTTCAAATATCTTGGAAAACAAACTGGGCAAATCGGAGACTGTTGTCAATTCAAAGACTAAAGAACTTTCATGTTAATCAAGATGTCCTGGAGATGGCATATAAAAGCCTTGTGGAGAACATTTCCTTTATTTAACATGACCTGGGGTCGAAGAGCAGAACCAAACTGTCCAGGACTGTGAAAATGGCAGGAAGAAGGCCCAGCTCTGTGACTTATGTCATAATACAGTTCTCAGAATGTCCAGGAGCACCACAGCTGATTCCACACTCCCACTCCTTTCTCAATCCATAATACTCTCATCAGGAAGACACTACAGGATAGTAAATTCAAATAAAAACATTTATGAGACTTCCTTTTTTCCCTTTGCAATAAAACTGCTCAATGAATGGACTATGTTATTGGAGTCCTCTCACTGCCTTTTTATATATCCGACTATTTATGTATCATTTATGTATGTTTATGTAGTTTATGTGACTTAATGTGACTTTTTTGTATGGCCTGTGTGTTTTGTACTTTTATGGGAGAAGCCAAAGACAAATTTCCACAGTAGTGGACAAAAAGGTATCTGTATTCACCTGGGTATATGTGAAGTGCTTTAGTATCCTTTGGAATGAAATGTGCTGTGCAAATGCACATAATTATGATAATGATCTAACACTGTCATGCTATCATATTGGATGCTGGCTCTTCAGTGACTAGTTTCATTGCTGATATCTGGTGACGTCTCATCCGAAGGAGGGTGCCTGTTTACAGTATAGTGTATATGATATGATCTCTAGCATCCAAACAGGTGGTAGTAAATGTGCTGCAGTGCTCACGTGCGGACACTGTCTCCTCTGAACTGCCAGGCTTGGACTGCTTCCTAGCAGCTGTGCTGTGCAGGCAGCCCAGTTATGTGCCTGGGAATGAAAGCAAGTTCCAGGATCTTTCCCTTGATAAAACTGAGACTGGGCTGTTGCTGGCAAGTATGCTCGCTGACAGAGTACGCTGAGAAATAAGAAGTAAGCAGAGACAGTGAGGACACATCTTTCACTTTGGGATCCGTGCAGGATTGTGTATGAAAGACCAGTGCAGATGTTGAAAGATGGGTGTGACTCATTCGTATCCTTCCATTTCAGTTCAGAAATTTGCAAAACTACATTTTGGAACTCCATTCCACCTGCCAGCAAGCACCTTAATTTTTATTAAGCAGTTATTTAACCTTTTCAACTTTCCAAGTAAGGTAAAGTATAACACCCCAGAAACAGGTGAATCTGACATTGTAATTCATTCTAATGAACATTTTGTTTCAAAATAGTTCTTCTTTTTGGTTGGACCCAAAGGGTAGGAATTTATTTAGCTGCTGTTATTCTTCATTTGGGCCAGTGAGACATCTGTTAAACAAGAGCAGTAGGGTTGATTGTTAGTTACAGACAGAGTTTCTTGTAGTAGTTTGTGAGTATAGCAATTATCACTTAGGAAAAACGTGTAATTGTAATGAAAATGTAAGCGACTTGGAAATAGTCTTTGCAGTCCTGGTTTTTCAAATCACTTGAGCAAAACCCTGAAGCACACATTCATTTTATCTGTATTTAATGACTGTGAAAACATTACTGATTGTGAAAACATTAACCTTTTATCTTGAGTGCAGCACAAGGCAGTAAGCTGACCCAGAAAACATATTCAATTTTAATTCAAGTGTTCTGCACCCACACAGCCTTGACTGACTCTTGAGAATTTGTTGAATTTCTGGGCCTTCTGTTGTTTCGGGGCGTTAAATTCTTTATGCATTTTTTTAAAACATCAGTATGGAATAAATGAATAAATAAATCTCCAGCCTTTAAGAAATACAGTAGTTTAAAACTGTTTTGGATTAAACTCCGGTTTAAAAGAAAGGAATGCCTGGAATGTTCTGGAAAAGCCAGTGCCTCATCCCGTATTTTATTAATTGGGCTGGTCAGCAATTGGTTTGTTCTTCAGCTTGAGGGGAAAAAAACGGATCATAAAACACAAGTTACAAAGTTGTCACCTTTACATCTTCCGTGATCTACATTAACAAGTGGGAGTGGAAGGGGATGGGGGTGGAAAAAGGAAATCCATTTGAAGGAAAATGTTTTGTGTCCAAGGCACACAGTCAGGATGCACATTCTAAACTAATGGGAAGAGAGTTACCAGTGATTCTGAATTTCACTGATGGAACAGAGCTGTCGAACCAAGTGCTGTTGTATGTAATGTACAGCTGTGTCTGGCAGGCAGTTTTATGGGTGAGGCTTCTATTGTTCCTAGAGGGGAGCTGTTGGAAGTATTGTGCCAAAAATGTGCATTAGCTGTAATACTGTAGAACCTTTGTTTCAAAACCCGACCTCTGTCGAGGAAAGTTAGTCTCAAACAAAACAAAACTTTTTCTTTTTTTTTTGCAATTATTGTGCCTTTCTGCATCGTTTTCACAATCCATCATCACATGTAATCTGGTACATGTTTCCCAGTCTCGGGTTCATGTTCCTGGTTTGGGATTGGGCAGTGAATTGTTACCACTGAGTGCATTCACTGCCACTCATTTATAATGACACTCATCAGACTGCAGGTTTACACCTTTAAAGAACTTGCGCTTAGACTTGGTACTTGAGAAAAGTATCAGCCAAATTGAATTTAAACAAAGTGTTTTAAAAACTAAAAATGTGTGTCTTTTTGTTTAAAATGAAGTTTAAAATAATTTGTACGTTTTTGTTTTCAAATTCTTTTCAAGTGTTCTTTACTTAAACTCTGCAGTTTTGTTGTTAGGGTACTGCAGTATATGGAAGACACGTATGACAAAAAAAAACCTCATATAATACTATGTAAATAAAAAAGGTTTTGCAGTTTGATTAATTTGATAGGTAGTAATGGAAGTGCAGTGATGAATCTCATTATATGCTATTTTGTTGTTACTTTAATGCTTTAGATTCACCCCATATTTTTAATTTCAGGTTTTTTTTTTTACAGGAGATCCTATGTGATACATTGATAAAAATAGATCTTGAATCTGCTTAGAGTTTCATCGATTTGAAATGAAGTGGAGGTGTGAATTATCACAGCTACATTTCTGTTGAGTTTGAGCCCTGTGGTCTCGGGTCCGAGACTGGGAGCAGGATGCCCGAATGGCGCTCGGAGTTTGGTCGGATTAGTCGGACAGGTTTGTCTTGGCCTGCGGCTCTCAGCGATCACTGCTGCCATCCAGGCTGGTCTTGGCTCGCAGGCAGGTGGCACTGTACAGCAGGAGAAGCACAAGCCTCTCGTCCAGTCGACACTTCTCCTCTGATGGCAGGCCGTGCGTGGCCTTTGACCTCCTTAAAGTTGAATGGCTTCCTCATTCTCTCCTGCCTGGGGTCACAGAATTCGGACGTGTGGTCCAAGCTTTCCTCTCCATCACAGATACACTCTGTGGTGTGTGGTGTAGTCTGCTGTACTGTGCATGTTCCGAGAGATCAGCGCGAATGAGAATTCCAATGTACCTGTACGTAGTGGCAACAAACTCTACTCAAGGTGTATTTCGACATGTGAAAAACGCCCGCGTTCTGAGATGGGTGGGAGTAACAGGAAAATAAATTAAATGTGTGTTTCAGTTTTAGATTGTTCAAATCCGTTCGTACAGAATGGCTCCCTGAAAATACCTTCTCTTCACCCTCCTTTCTTTCCGTCTCAGGTATGGGATGAACTGCTTAATCCAGTTTGAGGATTTCGCCAACGCAAATGCCTTCCGCATCCTGAACAAGTACCGCAACAGGTACTGCACTTTCAACGATGACATCCAAGGTAAGGCGAATCTGAAGCTGCTCTCTTTGTCACACAATAATGATGACTGTTCCGCTACACAAATCCAGCATTCGTTTAAAAAAATGTTGTGGTCTTGATTGAGTATTAGTTTGACATAATACTTTTTTCTGCCTCTAAGAACTTAGCATGCCAGCTACTACGCAGTAGTTGTGTAAGTAGTATGTAGCGTAACATAGAGTTTCCAGCTATATCTCGTACCTACATACAGTATGTGTGTTTTGAGAAGGTACTCTAACAGTGCTCTGTAAAAAAAATGTAACTAATGTGTTCAACTAATTATTTGTCAATACTGCTGAGGCTCTGACTGCTCCTTTCAATAAATATTCCCAAACTCCAGGTACAGCTGCTCTAATTAGCAGGTCTTGCAAAAGCCAGCCTCTTAAGATATTTATGGTGGAAATGGAGAAACCTTCGCATCACATGTAATTGTGTTTATTTGTTCACTATAGTCTTTTCATATCTTAAAAGGTACGTAGATTAATAGATTAATGAGTCCCCTTTCCCCTTTTTGGAGTTGTAGGATCCCCAATTCCATGCATATGTTCTCTTTCATACTGCTCGTATTTTGGAAAATAAAAGAATTATTGTACTTGAAGTACGACCTTTAACATTAAAGGCCCAGAAGATTAGCCTGGAACAAGAGCAGACCCTTTGATGTATCAAATCCTTTAGTGTGCATGATCCCCACACACCGTAATTATGGATCTAAAAGATCTTTTGGATTCAATAACAGGACGAGGTAAATCACTCCAAGCAATAATTACTGTCTTAGCCTGTCTTAACCTCTTCCTGTGGCTAATATTATAAAAATGCTTGGACAGCATTTTTGTGACGCACACTATCACTTTAAAGTACTGTTCGTAGTTAGAGGATTGACTCAGTCTGACTTCCAGAGTCAGTTTGAGCTCAGCGTACCCCAGGGTGTGTAGCTGTAATTCCCTAAAGCACAGTCGGGTGTATCAGGACGTTTTAATATTTCCTAGCTCAAAGACCCCCTTTTAAACTGAAAGTCCATTTAAAACATAAAACCAAATCTAAACTTATGTTTACTACAGTGTAAGAAATACAGCAAATAATTATAAGATTTTACAGTAGAACTGCTTGTCAGAATATCCATTGTAAGAGCTGTCAGAACAGATCCTCCTATAATTGGGAGTTTATTTTGCACACTACAAAACGTGGGGGTGATGACTTTCACTTTGCGTTTGAGGAGAATCTCTGGGAACCACAGAGGTTGAAAAGACCAGGCATATCTAAGTGGATAGTTTGCCAAAAGGGAACATAAGGGCCTCTGTGTAAAAATAGCATGTACTTCTGTCAGCTCCAAATGTATATCTTTGACTCAGCTAGATGTTCTCTGGTATGAAAGGCTGCAGATAAAACGGCTAAATTGCTCTCACTGTTACTAGTGAATGAACAACAGAGCAGCAGCATGAAAATTGGAAGATTATTCAACACTGTATTGCATCTCTGCCCTGTTGTTTAGTAGGATGATATAATAAATAATCAATCGATGTTCAGTCTCAAGCGTGAACTACAGTACCTGAGTGATATTTCGGTACCAATTTGTTTTAAATTCCTGTTGTTATATAGAGGAAAAAAAAGTGTAAAAAAATGCAATCATTTTCGTGCAAAGTAGCAACTAGAGTAAATAGAAATGGTTGATTTTCATGCCAGTTTTGTAAAATAAGGAGAAACGATTATTACTGAAAGGAAAAGGAGTAGGTTACTCCCCAGGAGTGCAGCACTAAGGACAGGAGTCAGCATTCGGGAACATTCTCCATCCCAGAGAAGTCCAAGGCAAATACTGTCTTTCCCCAGCTGGCTAGAGGGAGAGTTCCCTCTGTGGTCTGGAAGCTCTTGGCCTTTGTTACTGTGGGACTGTGGGAGAGCTCTGGGAATAAGAGACAAGTTATGTTAATCCTTCAAGTGGAATGTAGTAAGTCAGACTGCACTGTTTCTCCCAGTGAGATGTTCCTTCATCTGTGGGTGACAGGTTGTTAAAAGAGGCTGAGAACCTGTTACCCTGTATTTTTACATTTCTCTGATGCTGTTCTTCAAAATGACAGTGTATAGGCCTGCATGAGTCAGGAGGAAGTGTGCAAATGTGCCTCTTCCCAGTGGTTTCCCACATTCCAGGAGGGCAGGGTTCAGGCTGACAGACGAGCCTCCCAGGCGAAGTGTGCCTGCCGTTTCTATGAAGCAGGAGATTTAGAAGTGAACTTCATCTTCCCCAGCACAGCTGTAGGTCCAGGATTAAGGCACTGTTCTCAATGGGATGCCCAACGGCAAAGTCAGCTCCAACCACTTCATACGTATTTTTTTACAGCTTAATTCTGCTGTACATACACAGTATGGTCCAAAACCTATATTGTACTAATGAACCTTTTAACATAAGGCGTGCATATAATGAAGTAAAAACCACTAACATTTAGAATACATGTTGAAATCTGAAATCTAAAAAGAAAAAGTGTACCAAATTAGCATGTAGTACTTGCAGAACTGTGCAAGAGCACGTACAAAGCTGCACAGTCAGTCTGTGCCTGGGGGAGTCCTCTCTCCTGGCTCTCAGACTCCTTTTCTTATTCCCCACAGCTTGTAAACAGGGATTATCTGGGAAAAAAAGTTAGCTGCATATCAGCGCCTTGACCACAGGATGAGTCAGGCGAATCTTTGTGCTGTGTGGGATGTAATGCAGGGGTGTTTGAGCCTTCAGAGAGCCGTGTAGAACATTCCTCCAGCCAGCAACGTGTTTTGGGGTGTTTTTCCATCTGTTCAGAATCTTTTACAAGCTGGCTTCAACTCCTTGCTCACTTAGAAATTGGACTTGGCTTTGTTTTGTTTTTTTAAAACAACAACCTTGACTCTCCCCATTTTTCCCCCAAATGAAATATATCAGACCATCCGGAACACAGCTCAATTGTAATTCTGGGTTCAAAAAGTTATATATAAAAAAGAAGTTTTCAGCCCAAAAAAAGCAAACATTTGAAGATTTTTATGAAATGTGTCTGACTGGTTAGAACTGGATTAAAATAACCTTAATAAAAAAGGTTTCTCCTGTTCACACCTTTAGAGAGTGGAAACAAGACCCTGTATATGAGAAGCTCCCATGGCCAGAAATAAAAAAGGCAGTGTTTCGGTCTGGGTGTGGCCCTTGTGCGGGTAGTGTGTGCACTGCCTTCTGTGGCTCCGTGCAGCCCACCTGCTGAAGCCCTGGAATCCAGCATCTCTGTGGGATGAGAGCCGCGGTTCGGAGGCCAGGAGTGGGCCCTTGGACATTCCCACAGCAGTGACGTGTGCCAACGCTCATGTGTCAGTGACCGTTCGGACTTTCCCAGGGACTGTCCAGGGAAAGTGGTTTTGTTCTGTTGCACTGTGGGGCTCAATAAAATGGATCCGACTTAACGGCACCATCTAGCGCTGGGGCTTAGGATCTAGCTAAGGATGCCTCAGTGCTTGAGAAACATAGCGAGATAGCAGAACTGTGCGGAACTGTGTTTCCCCTCTTGCCACTGATTCCTGCCTCATTTAGCCTATAGTTTTAGCCCATAAGAGGCTAGAGATCTGAGTTTTAACTAAGCCATTCTCTACTGATGAACACTCACAGCAATTTATATATATAGTTATTATAATATAACCCGCCACCCCAATTTCCAGATTCCTCTCCCCTAAGAATGAAAATAAAAAGACAAAAACGGCAACCGACACTTTCCCAGAATCCTCCTGCATAATATTTATCATTGAAAAATCATCTCCCTATTTACAATGTTACACAAAACACCCTTCGACTTTTCAGAAACTTAGGACATGTGAAGTCGGGGCTGATTCTCCTGAGGTCTCGTTGTTCTGTGTGTTGTAGATGGCGGGTTTGGCCTGGCCTCACAGGAAATTAGCGCGGTGGGGGTTATTTTTCTTGGCGAGTGCCTTGTGTCTCGTATTATAATAAATCTTCATTTTACCAAGATGATGGTTTAAAAACCCCATCAGGACTTTACGTGGGGATCTCAATGACCCAGCAACAGCAACACGCCGGGAAGGTCACGGAAGTCTACCCTATTGTTGTAAATGTGTCACACTCTTTCTGTCCCTTGGTGACGTTAGACCATTAAATTAAAAAATGAAATTGAGAAATATCCTGTTGCTAGTCGGGACAGGCTCCAGCTCCCCCACAACTCTGAATTGGAAGAAGCAGTTAGACAATATGGTGGATGGAGTGATATACCTATATTGTTAACGCAACTCATCAGGACAAGCCTGTGCTACAAATGGTCTTTAAATGTAGATTGGAGATTTAGTGTACAATCTTAGACTTAGAGCAAGAAGAGGTTAATTCCACGCTGACAATTATTTTAAAAATACAATGTTTTAAAAAATACTTCTTCAGGTGTGAGGGAGACAGAGAAAAGATTCATCAAGTACTGTAGCTGTAGCCAACACACCCTGAGGCAGCTCCTCTCTCGAACCTCTTCGGACTTCAATATCTTGGCCTAGCAAAGAAGAACTAGGCTGTCATGATAAGATGTGAAATCTGTAGAGCTGATAAGGCTTTTCTGAAAAGCATTTTGTGTGTGTTTGTATTCTGTGGAACTTGTGATAAGCACAGGCCATAGCAGAGGAGTGATCAGATGTCCATTCCCGGGTTAAAAAACCTCTTGGCCGAAGTAAAAAAGATTGGATTAAGCAGTCACCATCTGTGGCTTTCCCGTAATGAATAGCTGTTATTCATCAACATTGGTACTGCCCTTTCCAGTTTATTAAGTTCTTCATGGCCTGGGTTTAAAAATGTACAGCTGTCCAAACCAACTTGAAGCTCGGAGTGAGTGACTCCAGGACTGAAATGTGAATGACATCAGGATTAGATACTAATTATGGTTCATTTAAAATATAAAGTACACATTTTGTTTTATTATTCGATTATGAGTCATTGACAGATCCTACGATCTCTCCGATGTAAATGACATGTAAATGATAACAGCTAA